GGAATTACTGCCCCAAAAGTATTTTCCCTCTGGGAATTTAATAAAAGAGAGGTTTAATCCTGCCCCTGATGAATTGCTTCTTGGAGCTGCTCTGGGAAGTGTTGGCAGCCAACATCATTGCTAAGATGTTGTGTCTGTGTGTGGGTTTTGACAGAGAGGAAGAAAAATTGACAGAAAGATGCTCTCCAGCCCCCAAATCAGCCTTTGCCCTTTTGTAGCTGTTGCCTGGACAGGGATGCAGACATCAACCTTCTTCCAAAATGCCATGTGGGTGCTCCAGGCAGGAAATGAATAGACTGTGCCCCCCTGGAAAGCCAAGGGTGAGTGTTTCCCGATGGGAATGAAGTCAAGCTTCACCCATGATAATCCTTTTCAGCCTGGAAATGAGCTGACTGGCACGAAAAACTTGGGAAATGCTATGACTCTGTGGATCCCAGGCAGGGCTCCCCTGGTGGTGGAAGCTCTCAGAGGATCTTACTTGAAGCTTACTGAAGGCAATAGAAGAGAGGCTTCCTGGTTCCCAGGAGTTTTGGTAGTGAACTTTGTTTCTCCTGCTCACAGGGAACTGTGTGTTAAAACCATCAGTTGCCCTTGGGGGTCTGCCCTGGATATCTCCTGTGGTTGGAGCTGCTTGATCCTTTCTCCTAGTCCCTGACTTGGCGGTGCAGAAAATCCAACAGTTCCCTCAAACCAGGACAAAACACTGTGTCCCTGATAAGAACCTTCAGCTCATCCAAGCTTTGTCTGCCTTAAGCTGCTTCAGAAAGTTGACAAATCACCCTCTGCATAATTGCTGGGATCTTTAATTGGCAGCAGGTCCTGATACCATTCCAGGCTGGGATAAACCCGTGCCCAAACCACCTTTCCTTCAAGGCATGTAGAAGAAACAGCTACATTCCGTTTGGGAGGCAGGAAGAGCTTCCAGCCTAGCACAGAACAAGTCCCAACCCATGGTTGTGGTGGTGCTGGATTCTCCCTAGGGATAGGAGTGGCTGGGGAAGCCCTGACTGCTGGCACAGGACACTTCATCAAGGGACTTTGGGACTGCTTTTCTAGGATGAGGCTTGGGGCAATGAGTGAAGGACTTGATTCCCAAGCAGGGCTTTGTGCCAGCCCAGGGAATAGGGCACTGCCACTGATGTCACCAAGAGGGATGATCCCTCAAGACATTCAGGCTTCCATCTCCATCCTCACAGCTCTGTGTTTGTCTCAGCTTCTCAGGGAAGGCCTGAGGTGCTCCCCACATGCCTTTTCCATCCCTTTAGCTCTTCTTTTCAAGCTGCACACTGGCTTTTTTGTTTCCCTTTCCCATGAGACTCTAGGCTGACTGGGGCAGCATCCCCACAGATCTGCCGCGTTGCAGTTTCATTCATCCTGCTTAAAACTGTTTCTCTCAGCATGGCTTGGGAGCACTAAAGAGGCAGGACAAAAGCCCAGCTAAGGCAGCAGCCCTGCTCCTTCCCTTGGCTCAGATGTGACTCTCAGCATCCATGGCTCCAGCTGCTTCCCCCCAGCTCAAACTTTCTGGGATGCCTTTGCTGCTTAGCCTCAGGAGGTACCAGAGGAGGGTGGAGATGCTGTGGTGCTGCTTTGCTCTGCCTTTGCTCAGGAGTTGGCTCCACAGCTGTCACTTGGGATGGGAATTGCATCACCCCACGTGCCTGTCCCATCCTGTTGAAGAATGGCTAAGGGAACAAGGGCACAGCCCCAAAAGCGAATTGTACGAGCAAGGCCCTGGGAACTTCGAGCATATAACTATGAAGTAGGCCTCAAGAATTTAGCTTCTCAGCATAATGTTGCAAGCTCAAGGGCAGGCTATCTCTGACAAACAACTAAAGCATATCTGAGATCTGGGAGAATAAAAGAAGAATTCTTCAGACCTGTAACCGCAAGCAGAAAAAGTATATAAATGTAACCTTTAGGGCTTAGCTAATCACAAAGTGATGAATAGGCATATTTATCGTGTACTGTATAAAAAAAGAACTGAGCACATAATAAAGTGAAGCTTGCTTTATCACTCACACTGAGTCGGCTGCTTGCTTCCCTGCGTGGATTACCCCAGACACCATCCCATGCCTCCACCCTGGGAGCCTGCAGCAGGCAAAAAAAAAACCTCATAAAAAAGGATAAAGCCTCTCATTTAGCAGTCAAACCTCTGTGATGCTCCTGGGGCAGTGCCATGTGCTCTGGGATGGCCCTGCTTGAGCAGGGAGGTGGGACCAGATGACCCAGTGTGGTCCCTTCCAACCTGACCTGTTCTGGGATTCTGTGGCTCTTCCTCCTGTAAGGTTTAGTGACAAGCAAGTGCTTTTCTCATGGACGAGGGAGTTTATCCAAAGGGGTTGTGGTGCTCCCGACCTCTGCCCTCATGTATTTGCTTTCTATGTGCTTAATTTGTTTGCCTCCCCAGCCCTCCCAACTTGGGAGATGCTGGAAAGCAGCTGAATTGTCCCAGCAGGAGACCAGGCCGGTGCCAAAAGACCTGGCACAGTTCGGCACAGACTCCTTGGCACCAGTGATGGGCCAACCTTGCAATTAAAACCTGCAGGTGCAGTGCTCTTGCCCCGGCCAAGCAGCCTCAGTGGGTGCTCGAAAACTTGTTTCCAGGAGTAATTGAGTATAATTAGAAGCTTGAATTCCCTGGAGCTGGGATGCTCAGAGATGCACAGGGGAGAGAAATAACCCCAGGGGCAGTTTCCAGGTCTCACCCTGTTCGGGCTTTTATTTGTGATATGTCCTCTTGGCCTTCAGATGGGATTTTTCTCTGGGAATCCTGGCTTTGGTGTTGTACCTTGCTTTTCTGACTCTCTGGGGAGAGACCAGAGGATATAGGGGATGGAATGAGCAAAAAGCCCTTGTTCTGGCCATGATGAGGAATAAATGTGACTTTTTGTCATCACAGTGAAGGTAAAATTAATCTGGCTCCTGAGCTCCCTGGAGGGAATGCAGAGAGATTGGCTCTGCATGGAGACTCCTAAAATCAGGATCCATCAAGTAGGATTGTAGACACTTCAGTCTGAAACCCAGGAGAGCCCAGTGTGCTCCCAGGTCCTAGTCTCATGGCATCCAGCCTTTGGGGAGGGGTGAGCACCCTAGGGACCCCTCATCCCCCAGCCCTGGCAGGAAATTCCCCCACGTCCTGCTTCCATGAAGGGTGAGGTGCTGCCCTGGCTTCCCACTGCCCCAGCAAGGGCTGTGGGGGGACCAAGCACAGTGATAAAAGTTCCAGGAAAGGGATTTATTGCTGCATGTCTCCTTGGATGGCTCCAAGGAGAACTGTGCTCCTGGAGCAACCTGAGCCCCCGTGCCTGGCTCTGCTCTGTCTTGCTTGATTTACAGAGGGAGCTGGGAGGGTTTCTAGCTTTGGAGGAGTATGATTCATCAACTCCAGAGTGATAAGGATGAGGGAAGAAAGCAAAGCCACGTCAACCTGAAGGAATGCAGCTGGTAGAAAGCCCCAGGCTGCGGCTGGTGAAAGCCCTGGGAGAGAGGATCAAGTGTAAAAAGGGACAAGATGGGAACGAGTGGCTGCAAGCTGCCCATCCCTGCTGCAGGACAGCACAGCTCACTTCTCCTGGCCCCTCAGCCCCCAAATCCGCTGCAGCTCTAA